GCGCCGCTCGGTTTATCGGACTTGAAACACTGCTCTTTTGTGTGAAGTAGAAAACTTGTAACTAATAATTAAATTGACAAACAATTTTAATATCATTCGATGCTATTATGCATCAATAAATTTCCCTCCCCCCAAGCCTGTAAAGAAATTATAGGCGATCTTCACTATACGAATTTATTATTCTTCAGAGCCCATTGCTTCTAATTTAAGAATAGTTATTACTCAGGTTTATCGTGATAATAATGATACATTTTTGAGTGCATTTATTTTGTAAAAATCTCATTCATTAATAGGACATTAGTTAAAAATCTGATTTCTCATTAATTTGATTAAGCAATATATGTGATACATCATTTTGAAATAATTGAGTAGTAAAGTTGATACAAAAACGTATTAAGAAAATCTAGTTTAGAATATATTTTTAATTTTTTCATTATAATCTTTCCACAATTTTCATTATGATCTTATTGTAAAGTTTATAATGTGTATTCAAAATATAATACGATAATTATTAATTTAGAATTGCTTTAAGTTTATTTCAAGACAGCTGCATCGTCTTTGGTTTTAGAATTAACCGTCTTTAATATATATCTATTTAATAATTATTTTCAGAATTTATTCTAGCATAATCGTACATTAATATCAAAAATAAAAAGAAAATAAAAAATTATAATGCACACTGAAGTTGTACTTATACCATTAATATATATATCATTAATTCTATCAATAATATTTAAAACAAATTGGATGACTACATCCATTACTATTCGGAATATATTCGTTTACTTGAAACATTTAGCAACAACTTTTATTTTATTTCAAATAGTTAGCGGTTATATTTGATTGGATCACAAATATTTAAAAAATGATATTATTAAAATATCGGAATTATTATTAAATTTATAGTACTTAAAAAAATAAATTTTATATATTTTATAAAAAATTTCTCAAGCTTATAAGAGTTAACCCGTAGTAGACTTAAACGTTCAACAGAAATTTATTAAAAAATCTTGTTGTTACAATTTGTATAATGTAATTATTTAATAATGAATTATTTAATAATGAATTATTTAATAATGATGTGACAAAACAATAAATATAATTTGATTATTATACTATGTAATTTAGCTCTATAGAATATCAAACATTGTAAAACAATTTAACATTAATAAAATGCAAAATATAGAACTGCAATGTAATAAAAAAATCCTTATAAATACATGACTAATAATTCGATTTAAAAACGCAAGAATATAATCTTGTAACAATCTATCCAAACAAATGTTCACTTAATGTAAAGCAGACAATGTAAACAATACATTTCCGATATTTTTTATTTGCACAAGTGTGATATGAAGCTTAAATATATAACTTTGAAGATAAAAAAATAATCAGTTGATATTACATCGTTCGACCTGCATGATCGATCTGTTCTTCAAGAAAAACGGTAAGTTTTGTACATTTATTTAACTTTTTTAAATAAAAATTGCAAGTTCAAAATATAAAACTATTTATTGATGTTATATTAATAATAAAATATTTCTTGTTTTATTACTTTCGTCATTTAAATAATAAATTCACATGAAGTTAAAATGGCAATTTTTATGGAAGCATTATTATTAGGTATATTGCATACGTGTATCGAATTGTAGATATATTATGAAAAATAATAATTACAGAAAATATTGACAAGATGAAGTTCATTATTTTCACTATTTTCGTTATAATTGCCATGGCTATGGTTGCTTCAGAAGAAAAATGTAGTCCTATGTATCAATATGTAAGTATTTATATATTTTTTAAGAAAGATAATTGTTCTTCGCATTATAAAAACAGACAAAAAAAAACGATATTAAAATTGCAAAATTTTTAATTCATGTCTTGTTTTTTCTACAATTTTATAAACTTTATATTAAGATTATGATAAAAAAGGTTTAAATCTGTATCGTTACATCTGTAATATTAATTAATATTAATTTTTCATGTTTGGATATAACACGTCTTCAGTTATATTTTAAATATTTTAGTGTGCACAATATAATGATTGCTGTCGTTATTTGGAATGTTCGTTTTACGCTGCAAAATGTGTGCCAAAATCCGGCATACTTGTGCCTGGACAAGATAAGAGACCTCTTGGTCCTGGACCATATCCACCAAATATGCCAGAATAATAATATTATTATGATCGCTTAAAATTTCTTTATATCTGATCCTGTCACTATTGTTCTTTTATATTTATGCTAAAAAAGAGAAAATTTCTGTTGTAAGTAACTTTTAATAAAGATATTCAAAAACTATCAATATTCTCCGTCTTATTTAATAATAATTAATTATATATATGTAATATATATTTATAAATATATTTAATATATTTAACAATATGTATAAGAATTTTTTAATATTAACATATTTAAATTTGTATTGCTTTTGTATATAAGGTATATATACAATTGAGTGTAACATAATGGTTATCACTTATCAGTCAATTTTATTGTAATAGCAATGGTGCATATAATATCTTTGTGTTGTCTGCATTTATATTACATGTAAAATCTCAGTTATTAATAAGATAATAGTTAAGAAAAGTATCTAATTAATTTTCTTGTCAAATTATATGTGATATATAACGTCGTTCTAAATAATTACGTATTAAGAAAATTTAAAAAATCTAGTTTAGAATATATTCTTAATCTTTATTATAATTATGACATTTCCAAAAAGTTTAAATGTGTATTCAAAATACAATAATTATTAATTATAACAGTAATTATTAATTTAGGATTGCTTCAGATCTATTTCAAGGCAACTGCGTCGCTCAATATCTTTAATTTTATAATTAGTGCCGTCTTTAATTTAATATTCAATATTTACTTTTAAAAAGCATTTTAGCACAATCGTAAATTAAGTAATATCAAAAGTAAGTAAACGAAAACAAAAATGCTTATAGAATTACTACGTGCGTACTGAAACTGTACTTACACACAATCATTAATTCTTCGATAATGATTAAAACGAATTAGACGACCGCGCCCATTATTATTTGGAGGGATTATCGTAAATATATCTGCGGGCATAATCGGATGTGCTTGAAATTTAATATCTATTATTACATGCTATAGTTTCTATCATAAACGTTATGTTTAGTTGTTTTAGATGCATAATTAAATATACATCAATTAAACAACGAGATAATGCGCATGTAAAAAGCTCGATGTGTATTATTACTGGTACTTTATAGATATAATTAAAATTAGATAAAAAACAATTTTAGGCAATAAAACTTCCTTTTCATGGAATGAACGTACACGCAGGAATTTACTTCATTCATATGCGGATGAATGTTTAAAACATCTTGCCGATAATTGAATTTAAAAAAAATATTTTTTGTTAATCGACAAAAATTGCAATTGAATTTTTTGTTTCTTTATTGTATAGGCAGAATAATAAATGTTGCATCAAGTGAGCTGCATATGCAGGAATTCGACCGGGTATTTTGCTTCTTAGCACCAATTGCATTCATATTATGAAATAGTCAATCCGCGATCGTAAACGTCACTTAATTACAGAGCAATTGGTCAACTATTACATGTTGTTTCGACAAAAGTAACATGATTGTGTAAAACTCTATAAACGCTACAGAAAACACATGTGTTCACGGACAATATAAATGCAATATAAATGAGCATGATATTTAATAATATAGAAATAATTGGTATTATGTTGCACTTTGTTAAACTGGATCTGACATACGCACGTAGGTACTCTTTATACGTTTATATTTTCACCAATTAAATGCAAATTCTCGGGTATTTATATTGTTCCGTATTAATTTTCAACAATATGTATACAGTCAAAATCGGTAACGCATTTTGTATCGCAGGCGCAGGATGAAAGCTGTTTAAATATATTTTCTAGTTACTGCTTAACTCCCCGACCCGCGAATTTCCGATTCAGTCAGTGTCAGATGTAAACGCGGAAACATACTTCGGTGGATTATCCTGTCTTTTTATCGAATGTTTAGATACGAGAATTTGAGATGCAAGATTTATAAATTTTTTCTAAACACACACACACACACATAAAACGTATGCATATATATATATATATATCCATTCGCGTCATGTATCTTGCAATATCCCTTAATACGTAAATTGACACACCAAAAAGCGACAGAAAGCTCGACGGCACTTGAGTCGAACGTACACGGCGGTAAATCCGTGAAACGCGAATGTCGCTTAAAAGCGTCAAGTGTGCTGCCACGGATGTACTAAAAAAAAAGAAAAAAAAAAGTTAATTCGGCTCATGATGTGTCGCAGCTTCGCCGATGACAGGAAAAAAACCCCGACTATTTCTATTCAGCTACTATGAGCGAACAAAAGGACAATGCTACCGGATGATTCAGTTTCCTTTCCTGTTGTTTCCTGTCAACCGAATTAAAGAACAAGAGCGCGCTTTGTCGGGGAATCAATGGAATGCACGAGGCGCGCAATATGCACTCGATAGAATGCCGCGGCGCAAAGGGCAAAAAGCACTTGTGCATTCGATACTGCTGAAATGGAAAGGGAATATCAGCGGAAGGCGCCTCTCTTTTTGCATTCTCATTCCGTCGTGCGCGCGCGCGTATATAAGGTGATCCGGTAATAACCGAAATCCGTAAAGTAATTTGTCCCGCTTGTGCGAGCCGCGGATTGACGTAACGGACGGCCGCGGAGCGGTGCGATTTACTTCCGCTTTACTAAAGCGTTTATTAACTTCACCGGCATTCACGTCGCAGTTGCTCGCGTTAACTTCGAAATAAGTGAGGGAACTCGCGAGCATTGAGGACATCAATTTTCCTTAACACAAAGTTAAGTATTTCTTATGCAAAGAAATTTCTCGCTCTTTACTTGAAAATGTTTTATTCCATTGCATACGTATAAGAACGTTTCAGAAAAACCACGTACATTTCATTTAAATAAGATAAGGATAATGAAAAAAGTTTTACGACTTGGTTAACGTCGCAAATGTGACGAATAACGGAAATCCCGTCAATTCGAATATCTCGTAAGATTATACATTATTTTTATGTAAAGCATTTTTGTTTATTGTAAAAACCTAATCACAGCCGATAAAGAATAATCTTACCCGACCCCGCTTTCTTAGAACCAATATTGGAAATGGTAAATAAATAAGTATCGAGAGATAAAGATACAGCATGAATACTTTCAAAGAATTTGTTCTTAAAAGAGTCTAGCACACTTAGCACACTTTTTAAAACATAATGACTAACTTGAGAAATTAAATGAATATGTAAGTAACGTCGTTAAATAAAATATCAATAAAATGTCAATAAATGGAGAAAGAGAAACATCTGTTACTGTGATACGTAGAATATAAGCAACATACATACGCACGCAAACATGTAAAAATGTAATTATAGACACTACATCGTGCTACGTGTGTGAGAAAATATAACGACTTCTCCCTAATTGGTTATGCATCGTCAGATACGTATACATTGGCAGATTTACTTGTGTAAGTGATCGTATAAATGCTTTGACCACTGTAAACTAAGAATCCAGTCGAGGTCGAGCTCTTGAGACGGTTAGATCTGAAGAAGAATTTTTCTCAAAGCATCTGGTGAGTATTTATTTGTCAATACAAATTATATATAATTTATTTACATTGTAATTTGTCACATCAGATATTTTTTACAAAATCTATGAAATAGAAGGATTAAAAACATTGGGTAAATAATACAATGAGTCGCGCATGCAACAAAAATTGATACTTATTGTAAAATGTACATAAATTGTTTACTATTTATTAAATAACCAAAAGATCAATAATAAATTTTAATGAACTGAAGTAATAAATTTAATCTTTAGAAAGTTATTGTGTTGTCGATTTATTTAAGAGCTTCAATTATATAATCATTTATTGATACAATTATATTGATAATATTACAAGTGCCACAATTGTCGCGCATATAATAAAAATTGATACTTATTGTAAAATACTTATTGTGTATATAAATTGTTTATTAAATAGTCGTTAGAAAATCAAATGATAAATTTTAGTGAAGTGATCATCGATTTAGTGACATCGATAAATTTAATCTTTAGAAACTTATTATACTAAATCGATCTATTTAAGAGCTTCAATTATACAATCATTTATTCATATACTATAGATATATTAATAATATTACAACTGTCATAAATGTCACTATTTGCCATAAATTTCTAATTTTGACTGTTATCGTAAAGTAATTACGACAAAATAAAATATTAAAGTCCCAATTAAAAATACTTTAATATTATAGATCAATTTAAAAAGTTGTAAAATTTAGGAAATCAAAAAGAGAGATATATATATACATATATATATATGTATACAAAATTTACAATAGTAGATGTATGTTAACATTACAAAATTTAAATGTAGTAAGCCAATTTTTTTCTGATTTACTGCTTGCTATTAAATAATAAAGCATTCGCTTACGATTAAAATAATTGTATAGTTTTGCAGTCAACAACATATTAGGAACATATTCCGTAACCGAGTGGTAAATTGCAAGATACGGGTCTAGAGTTTAACGGTTACTTCGCCTATTGAAGAACTAATTGATTCAGGCCTTGATGATTCATTCGCAAATACCTGTAACTTGCTGCGCAAGTATAAAACTCACGGTCGACTTATCGCATTATATAAACTGAAGATTCATGAATAGTCCGAACGCGTCACGCATAAATTAGGAATTAAAATTGGGTATTTATTTAGAATAACAAATGAGTCGTTCTATATTCCGATGCAATTAGAATAATCTTGAGCAATTTGAAAAGTGACTTTTTGACAGACGTTAGACCATCGATTTGAAATGCTCTTCATTACTCTCGCATCTCTAATCCGCAAATTGTTTGATTGCAGAAATACGTCGCTGAGAAGATGGCGAAATTAATGCTGTTCGTCTTTGTAACGTTGCTAGCAGCAACTCTTATCATGGGCGCTACCGATAAGACGTGCGGTCGACACGGTGACCCTGTTAGTATTCTTGCATGATTTATTTTTCTGATAAAGCCGCTTTTTCTTCCATGCTCGATTTATAAAAAATACGCATTACTGCTATAATCAGCGAGGAAAATGAGGCAAACGATTTTGCCATCTTCATAATGGAATGCTGAACGATTCATATAACTATTTGCAAATAGAGAAATTGTATCAATAGCGGACAATTAGTATATTAGACAAAAATTAGGAGATTTTAATCTAATGTATAAAAAATGCAAGCGTATAATTTTAGCGGTTTATGAAATCTACTTAGAATAATGTAAAATCTATTTTATATACTTTTTCGAAGTTTAGCTTTTTAAATTTTTTTGTACCGTTTTAATTCAATATTTTTAATAATCAATTTTTGTATATTGTTATATAGAGTATCTAATAAACTGCAGTATTGGCAAGCAGATAATTCGTTGTGAAAAAGCGAGTAAAAAATGACAAATAAATTTTTTTATTATTAGACCATGTTCCAATATATACTGTCAGTACTAAAAATTTATAGTGTACGTAACGCGAACTATAGATTTTCAGTACTGGCAGTACATATATCGGAACACGGTCTTTAAAAAGCTTTTATTTTTGTGTGTTTCACTTGTTTTTCACAAGAAACCTGCTCGCCGATTGTACAACGTCATTATCCGCGAAAATTCCGCATATATCTTTTCTTCACATGCAAATATTTTCTTGAAAAAAAAACTGACATGTTTTTTTTACGTTCAGATTTACAGACATTTATTAACACTTTTCAGTTTAAATTGAATTGATGTCATGAATAATGGATTGTTTATCAAATTTCAGTGCGCTTCTGTACCGCGGTGCTGTGACGGTTTGAGATGTCATCCTTATGCAAACAGATGTCAAGTCATAATTACTGAGGAGGAATTGATGGCTCAACGTGAGAAGATTTTAGGCCGAAAGGGCAAAGATTATTAGTACGCAGATAAGTTTTATATATCGGGATATAATGGACGACGATTCTATTAATCTGCTCTGGCTTGGATCCGAAGACTGCGTTTCGAGGAATTAGTTATTAATGTATAACACTTTGTGTAATAATCAGAAAATTAATATAGTATATATTATATATATTGTATATTCGTAGATATAAGCAATATCTTTTGACAAAAAATGAGATTAAAAACGTAAATTGAAAGAGTTCATTTTGTCTATCACAATTTCTTTTTTTTTTTTCTAAAAAGTGTGATGCACTTTTCGTAAACAGAAGACGAATTGTCGGAGGAGAATAGTAACAAAATTTCATCCCATCGATTTATTGCGCTATCTTATTAATTTGCGTCGGCCCTGTAATTCGAAGAACTTTCCGAAATAGCGTGTAATCGCATGCATCGTTATCGGATTTCTCAGCGACAAACTATAATGCGCACTTCAAAAGGACTCGCTCGTCGGCGCGGAATGACGAAAAAGGACACTCGAGGATTGCCAAGTGACGAAAATTTTCGAGCGGACAGATCCGTCGCGACGATCCCGTCCCCCCCTCCCCCACCGGCTTTGTCCCGTCCACCCCTCTGTGCACCTCTCTCTACGCTCGCGCGTCCCGTCCGTTATATTCGAGGACATTTAAATTCACTATCTCCTATCTCGGTTTACCGTACACTCGTTAAAAGGCGAGGCCTTTGTTCGATAAAAAGACTCCCGCCGCCCCGGTGTATCCGCAGAACGGAGTAAAAATCCCACCGGATCCGACATGCTACGTGGCGTGCGAAGGACAGGTACACGCGCGCGCGGGGGGGAGGGAGGGGCGGTCCGCCGGGGTGGTTTAATAGCATCGACTTATCTTTCGATAAGCCCGCGCGCGCGCGCGCGCGCTACACCCGCAGAAACCCGCCATATGGCCGGTCGATTCGGAATCGCCCGTGAACGATTTCTTTCCTGCACGTTCTCCAGATTACGACGGATAAGTTAATGACACATAAAGTTATTGTCATGGTTGCCGTATCGGCGTTCCAAATCCCCCTGTTCGCGCGACTCGTGCGCGCGATATCTCTGTGTACGTGTATATACCTATCTCCGCGGCGATTATATTGAAAATAATGCGCCTTACACGTAAATGACTGAGAAGATTGAAACGTTGTCCCCGCGCGACGACAGCAATTTTACCGAGTACTTAAATGCGATCGGCGCTAATGAGAGTTCGCGAAATTTCGAGAAGTTTCTCTCCATAATATTCCACTGAACATATTTCATCGACGGCGCGGAGGAGAGAGGAGTGAAGGGGGGGAGGGGAGGAAAGAGACGGCCTTTGTAAATTTGAAAAGTAGGTGGACTTTGATTCAAAGACCAAAAGCTTCTTCGGTTCGTTATACAAAATTTCCGCCGTGTTCCAATCTCATTAGCGCCGGCTTAAAGTTAAGCGCCCCAACTCTTTTGCGCCGGACCGCACGTGCTCTTTGACCGTCGCAGTGTTTTAACAGAAATCTAACCTTCTTGACAAATTAAAGACGGACGGTGTATACACGCACCTTCGCGATCAACAAAAAGGAAAACGTATAGATCGTTCTATTAAAAAAAAAAAAAAAAAAAGTATGCCCGTATACCTGAAATTTGCTCACAATCTCGTTGCCCGCGCCGAGTTTGCCACTAATCCGATTGAATTTACGCAACTCTTTGATCCTATTACCTTCGATTTGCGAAACTGCACGATTTATTTATTATCGTAATATTTCACAATTAATGCAATTATAATCTCCACAAAATTCCAAGCTTGTAACAGGCAAATGTAATTCGCTCGCGCTTTAATTTTCTGCGAATCTGCGCCTGTTGCGACATCGATAAGGCAAAAGAGTTCTGTACGTGTGCAATCGGTTGCTAGTAAAGACGTCACCTTGCAAATATTTGCGCGCTGTCCCTTATCGTGCCCCAGCTTAATTGCCATATGGCGTATACGGTCATATTTCACGCGCGTGTTTTTTGTCTTAGATATACGTGTGTGTCTTGCACGTACCAATATAAGCTCGCAGATATTTTCTAGCTCATATACGACCGATCGATATATATGTATATGTACTTTCATTAATCAAATATATATAATATATATAAATTTTTTTTAGGATAATTTCGTAATCGATCGATCGAAAGCACGTCGAGAAACCGCATCACATTTATTTACTTTTCGAGACTCGAATGAGAGCTGTGTATATAGCCGTCTGGATTGGCTAGAATCCTCTTACGCGCCGAATCCGGTTACGCGACGTATACTTGACGCTCGAAAAGAGAAAGCGCACGAGATGAGCATCGTTCGAAGTAGTGTCAAGGCCGCGCCGCAAGGACGGGTCGGCGGGAGCCGCAAAATCCCAGTGTCGAAAGCCGAGCTCCAGAAAGGCAGAAAAAGAGAGAGATAAAGAGAAAGAAGGCGAAGAAGGACTGGAGCGAAGGGAGCAAACCGGAGACAAATGCGACGAGTCGAGGCGAGTCCTTGACTCGCGAGTCGAGTGTCTCTCTCCTCGTGGTCTCCTTTCAAGTTCTCATCCGGCGAGGTGCGTCGCGCCGCCGCGAACGTCCTCCAGCCTACTTTCAGGCACGTTTTCCCGCGGCGGATCCCGTGTCGGAATGCTAGAAGATTACGGCGAGCGCGCGGAGTACAATAGCGGCACGAGAGAAAGATAGGAGGAGATACGAGCGTCGCAGAGAAGAGGAAAGAGAGAGAAAGAGAGATGAAGGATCTGTCCGACCTGTCCTCGTTCTCGAGCAAGATCAGCGAGCTCGCAAGAAGCGAAGGTAATGCCAGCGGCACGCCGCGAACACACGCGGTCGCCACAATATGAAAACATTATCGGCCGTAAGCCGGTAGGTACACAGCAATGTGCTGAGCTTAGCCCCGGCAGCCCCCCGGCTTGGCGCTCGGCGCTCGGCTCGGCAACGCGATCTCTCGCTACCGCGCAGCGCAGTGCCACGTCAGGACGTCAGGATTTCAGGTGGGTACTTGTCCGCCCGGATTCGCATGGCCCAAAAGCGCTCCCGGGACGCAACGGAGAAAGGGAGAGCCATGACCGGGAGCCGATTTGCGAGAAGGAACGGGGGAGGAGATAGGCTGCTGCTGCTGCTGCAGAGCGCATACCAGGCATCATGCAGCGTACTCCGCCCCAAATCCTCGACGGATCCGCCAGAGAGAGAGAGAGAGACAGAGAGAGCGTTAATGAAACTGTCGCCAGATTACTACTTGCCGCGGCGCTACTTTTCTGATGGCGATTTTCGAGGACGCGCTCGAGGACTCCTCGCTCGTCTTTGCCCGACGTGAACGCTTCAGATCCAGAAGCACAGATTTGCAGCCGGCGACGCACGGTTGCAGGATATTCCGCGCGACCTCCGATGACATCCGCCGCCGTATAGTCCGAAAATTACCGTTCATCTTGTCATTTCGTCCGACGCGCGGGGCAAAAAGAGCGTTTAAAAACGTACGCTTTGTCAGGCGCGGCCGTGGCACCGGGGGGACGCGCTAGTGATTTTCCGTTATCGGGACTGATCCGACGAATGGAGAGGAGGGAGGATGGGTGGGAGGGAGGGAGGGAGGGGTAAAGTGTGACGGTGACGAGGAGGACAGGTCGGTGTTGAGGAGAATGCGAATACCGAGGCGACGGTGGCGGCGGCGCACCAATATACATATATATACGTATAATCGACGATACAAACACCCGGCTACTTAGAGACGAGGGAAATGGGACTGGCCATTTGGGGCAAACTACCCCCTAGGCTAGCTCACGCGACCGATCTTATCGCCGGCTCAGCCCTGGGTCTCGCCTCGAACGTATACATCGCGCGAACACGTACACGTGACAGTCCGCACACACGTGTACGAGGCGAAATCAGCTATCTTGCCGCGGAATTGATTTCTTGCATTCGTTATTTCCTTGGGAACCCGACCGGCTCGGTATATGTATATAATACATACATATATATATATATAATTCTTTTTTATTTTATTCTCCGGCAAATATCGTGGCGATTAAGCGCGCATTGAAATATTCACGATGATACTATCGGCACTTATATACCCACACACGTCGGGAAAAACGAGCTTGAAATCAAGACGAACGTTATCGCACGCGCGAGATCAACCCGAGTTGCCCCGTTTTATCCCTTTGTAATAAAGTTTCTCTCTAGATCAATAAAATTTTACACAGGCTGTCAGTGTAAATAATAAGAAAAATTTACAAATGATATTTTCTGCCTTTTCATGTAGTCCTTCTTCTCTCTCTCTCTCTCTCTCTCTCTCTCTCTCTCTCTCTCTTGCAGAAAAAAATATTATTTAGAGTGATTATAACAAAATCGATTGCCCCGGATTGTACCGGATAGCCAACCAAAGGAAAAGGAATATAGTAAACTCTCCTGTTATATAGCAGAGTATTTTGAAATTGTATTGACTGAATGCCAATGACCCGAAAAATGTATATTGTTCTGCGTTGACCTAGTTCATCGAAATATTGATACATGCCTATCTCGTAACGTCGCGGGCTTGATTGCACGAATCGCTCCGGAATCACGATCATCGTTCAACTTGCTCACCATCTCGGCGCGCCGTGGCGGCAGCGGCAACTTCCCGACTTGCCGCTTATTATTATTTGCCGGCTCTTCTATATCCTGATCAAAACCGCGATACCGCCGAGGGAGGGTCGAGACTCCTTTGCAACTTGAGAGCGCCGGGCGCTTATACACAATCATATACCCGGGCATTTCGCCGAGATCCTTCGGATTACACGGGGGTCGGTCTTGCGAGTAACTCAAGTCGAACTTAACAGTCGGTTAAGTCCGCGGATAGTTCGGACCGTTTGGCTAGTCCGGTTTCGTACGGAGGGCATGAAGTCCGAACTGTAAGCCACTACGTAACCCCCAGCGGCCATGAGGGGGGCAGGGGAGGGAAGGGCGAGGTCATGGAGACGTGCCAGTCTTATCTCGATTTGCATAAATTCATAGTTTGCGGCTTAGGCCCTAGGAACTAAGGACACCACCGGCCGTACCTTATTCCGCGTCATCAAACTTTCAATTCCTTCGCCGTCTTGCTTCCAATTAGTGTGCGACCGTATAACCTCCGCGATCAAGGTACAATTGCTCATCGGCCCGAGATTATTTCACGAGCAATGGTTTACACGCAAAAAAATGACTTAGTAATAGTAGCCAAGTTTCAATAGCTATTATAAATCAAACT